TTTTTTTTATCAACACGTAATAAATGCTTTAAAATACTTGAGAAAGAATTTAAATACTTCTGTATTATACCGATACTAATACCGATATAGAACATGAGATATATATTCTTTTTAATTATTTCTCTCAGTCTATGCTTAATTAATTTTATGGTTAATTGCTGCCTCTGCGTCCCTGTCACTTTGAACTATTCACATTTGCAATTCTACAGAGATGGCATCATTTCTTGACCCCCAACTACCGTGCTTCCCGGTAATTTTTTTCTCTTTTTTTTGTAGCCTGGGAAAGTGTTGTTGAGCATTTTTTCTTGCAACTTTCATTCCATTTGCGAGGAATGGAAAGAGGTTTAGGAAAACTTGTCGGACGGGACGACAAGCGTTGTTTCAAAGCCTTGTACAAAGTGTATTCGATTTGGTCGAAACAAGTCCACCATGTCTTTGGATTAAAACACAAAATAGAGGCAGCACACAGTTCACACCAAAAACACAAGAAATCAAAAATTTACAAATACGAACAATGCGTGGGAAGTGTTTTCTGAAGCGAGGGGGTGGGGGGCATAATTAAAACTTAGCCATAGGCAGGCTGCGATAAAAGATCTTCAAAGTGCGATAAAAGAATAAAAAGCCGTCACGGGAGAAGTGACGGATATTCACTTGAGCAACTAAACAAAAACAGCAAAAAAAACCTGTCCAAAGGTGAGAAATGCTAGAAGACTTCAGAGATGCTAGAGATGTTAGCGCGATGATGTAACAAACTCTATTCATTCTTCAAAGATGCTAAAAAAAAAAAAGGAGAGACTTTAGTCTAGAATTCAAAGATAATTGAAGCTTTACTATAAGAATTTTAATATTTTAGACTCTTAAAATTATAGGTTTTGATGTTTTTGGAAGGAAATTGTAAGGAAATTATTAATAAAACATTAAAAAGTGGGATGGTTTTTTAAAGACATTAAATTAGAAACGAATTCGCATGCAAAACATTTTTAATTCACTATCTATTATGCATTTCAGTGACGAAAAACATCTCACTTCGGCATTAGAACCTATACTGTTTCTTGCAAGTCAAAGAAACCTCAAAAGTATACAATAACTTATCTTTTTAATCTTTGTAAAGATTAAAAAAATTCTAATAAAAACTCCAAGATATCTAAATATAGGAATACCTAAATTATGAACAAAAGAATACAAAATGGAATAACCTCCTAAACTAGACCAACTATCGGTGGCTAATTCACCTGCAACACCCAAAATATCTTTAATGGATTTCAGTGACGAAAATTATGTCATTTCACCAATTAAACTGAAACCTTTTCTAACTAGGATCAGGATAAAAACTAAGATTTATTTAAAAAATATTAAAAAATAGAATAACCGCTTGCCAATATCGAGTTCACATTCAACACCCAAAATAACTTTATGGGTGTCGAAATTTCAGTGACGAAAAATGTGTATCTTATTTCGGGAGCAAAACTGATACTGTTTCTTACTAGTTTGAGGATGGAAAATAACATTAATAATTCCTCAAAGTATCACCATACCAAAGTAAACAATAACTTTTATTTTTAATCTTCTAAAAGATTGAAAAAATCTTAAAAAAAAAAGCAAAAATTCAGTGACGAATTGACATGCAACACCAAAGATCTATTATGAGTTTCAAAAAAGACGAAAAATAACCCTCTTCGTCAAAAAAATTATACTGTTTCTTAAAATCCGGATGGATAAATACCATAGCATTAGTTGTTTCTCAAAATATACTTTTTTTTCTAAAAGAATAAAAAAAATTGTAGTAATAATTGAAGATATTTAAACTTGGGAATTGCAGTGACGAAAATTCAAAGCCAAAATAAATTACGTTATAACTTAACTATGGATCAAAGGGGAAACCCTTGTTAGACTTCCAAAAAACTAACCAATTCTCCCATAAAACTCTAAGCTGCTTAACCACCAAAGACCATGCATTATCGCCTGGCAATTAAACTGAAACTGAACTTGTGTTCATCGAAATAAAATGCCATTTAGCAAGTCACATTAAATGGGCTCCATCCGGTGGCTCCATTCGAACCACGGAGTCGAACCACTCCGAGAACAACAAAAGTAAATCAAGTGTCCATCAACCCGCAGCCATTAGACAGAGTCTGGATGATATTGGGGGGAAAAAAAGAAAAAAAAACAACCTCCATCTAGCCCGTTTCCCTGATTTCAAGTCATTTAAGGCGAAATTAGAGCAAATCACTAGCTGATGGCTTTTAAAAGGGCCAAGCTGCCAGGTCGAGATAGCTGTTCTTCTGCCGCGGCGTTTGGGCCAAGTTAGCACACAAAGCAACAGTATTCTTCTGGGCCTCATCAAAAGACGCGAACGCGCCAGAAACTATGTCACTGCGAAGATCTGCCAAGATCTGTGAGTCAGTGTTCCGTTGTTATTTGACTTTTTTTCTCGCGTTTTTTTTCCAACTTTCTGGTTAATCTATTCTCACCTGCAGGCGAGTTGGAAGCGGACGAGACATAAGAAGCAGTATTAGAAAAAGGTTAAAAGTCAAGATGAGAGACTTGGAGTGCAAAGGTGATTCGACACTAAAGTACCCTGTATCCTGCATAATAGTTGAATATTTATTAGATTATTCATGAAAATTTATTATTTTTCAGTTTTAAAAATTGACATTTAATATAGAAAGCTATATTTTAGTAGTTGTTATTTTTTTTTTAGTCTTTTTTTTATATTTAAATATATTTAAATTTTTACGGATAATATTTAAATATTTATCTTATTTGAAATTCATATTATTTTAAATATTTTATAAATATTGTTTTTCAGTCTTTCTTTTTAAGATAAACCTTTTTTTTAAAACAAAAGTAAGTTATGTATTTATTTTTGTTCTTTATGAAGATTTCAATTGCTAGTTTAAGCTTATGTACTTGTTTTTATATTTATTGCGTTTAATTTATTTATTTAATATTTAAAGGCAAAAAAATCTATAAAACGCTCCAATGTCTGAATAAATAAAACAAAAAACTGTCCCGTTATTTACCATTTACTTAGCCTGGCAACAATTGTCGGGTAAAAAAAATGGCAAAATGCGAAAATTAAAAATCAATGAACTCAATACCCCCCGCCTGGCTCCACCACACGTCCACCCTGTCCGGGATTCAACTGTAAAGTTTCGAGCGGGGGGAACTCAGAAATTCAGAACGCATTATTCGCATAATTCTCTTTCCTGCCTCGTTCGCTGAAAGCTTGCGACGCCCCTTGGTAACCGGAGAAACAAATAATAATTAGCAAGTGGCGAGGGGTGGGGGGCGGCGGGTGGTGGTAAACTGGGATGCCGGGGAAAGGGGGTGATGACACACATAGAGAACAGAGTGGATTGGGGATTCATTTTTTAGTTGATAACCAGAAAAAATTGAAAACTGCAATCAAAAGCAATTGAACTTGAACTTGAGGAATTAAAAAGTGCAGAAAAAAAATTAAATTTTAAAACAAAACTGTAAAAACCTGTACTCTTATGAAGATTATTTTTGTGTCACGTTCCAACTTTATTTATTTCAGTGGGTAACTATGATCATGAATGTGCGGATTAAGTTTCATGCGGATTACGATGATCAGCTCGGATCATGATCTAACGCTGAAGCCAAAGTGGGTTGCCGATTATTAGCAGCCGTGTCCAAAAATTGGCACGTACGTCACACAACATTATAAAAAAAAGAGGGAGGAGGGGAAACGGGTTTTTAAGTAAGCCAAAAAAAATAAAGAATTGTTGTGGAAACTAAAAAAAAATATTATTAAAAGCGGAAACTTTTTCAAGAATCTGTAAGGGAATTCAGATAATATTTTCTGAGAAAGCAGACGATCTTGATCGTGAGTAAATAAATACCTAGATTTCTAAGAATTTCATAATTTATTATTCTTAAGCTTTGTTTAAACAAACATATGTTATTATTACTGGTACTATGAGAATACAAATTATTTTCCAAAATTATTCAACCCTATTTTTTGCAGTATTTGTATTTACAACCCAACCTGCAGTTATTTTTGGGAGAGTCAATAGAGTAAACGATCGAAAAGGGACGCGGCGATAAAAGGAAAAGAGAGTTTGTATAGGGGCAGGGGCAAGGAGTAGGAGTGCGTATGACTCAACGCGCAAATGCGGGTGCACCTTGCACACCCCACTAGCTGAGAGCAGGCGAGAGAGAGAGCAAAAAGGGCCAGTCTAGGGAGAGGCAGAGAGAGCCGCGGCCGCGGGAGAGAATAAGGTCAAGCGGGGTGCGGCAACAAAAATATTTCCGCTGATAGTCGTTGATAAAAGGCTCCGTTCATGCTCTCTGCCAGTCTCCTGCTCTCCTTGCTCCTCTCCCTTTCACCTCTTTCCTTTTGCTGAATGAACAATCAGCAAACAACGGAGGCAAGAGGAAGCAAACACACACACACAAACACAGAGAGATAGACCACACTACTATGCCGAAATGGCTTTTATTTCGCTTAGATTTAAATATTTAACAAGGCAAACAATAAAAATGCGAATAAAAATGTGCAGAGAAATTTCACTTTTGCCATGCCATGCACATTCCGTTATACATTTTGGGCTTGGTTTTTTCTCGCGTTTTTGCTTTGAGCTCACACAAGCGCACACAGACGCAGCCACAGCCACAGAAACAGAAACACAAACACTGGCGCACTTTCTTCGGCGCCTTTTGGCGGCTTTTACAATTTTTGTTTATAAAACAAAGGCTAGAGGAAAAGCAACAACTGCCAATGCGAAAGGCCTACGAACTATTCCTTTATATTCCCTTTTCAGCAATTAATCAATTTCAGGCAAGCACATTAAAAAAAACACGCACACACACGTACAATGGTGTAGAAAAAGAAAGTGTTGGGAATTCTCTGTGAACTGTAAAAAAATTTAAGAACAACAACAAACAACATACGAAATATGCGTAATCACTTTTTTTGTTGCCTTTACTGCAACTTCTGCTTCTACTTGTGTTCTGCTCCTCTTTACGATGCGTACTTGATTTTTTTGCGTGTCCGCTTTGGGCGCTGCTTCTCGGGGGTTTTATGTTTGTTTGTTTGCCGTTTCACTCAATACACTAAACAAAAAACACGCGCAAGGATCGTACTGGTAAGAGTTTGGCGTTTGGCGTTGGCGTTCACTGTGCGCTTCGCTGCTTTTCCGATTTTCTTCCGCACGCCGCAAATTATAAATAGGGATGTCTATCGTAATATGTTTTTCGCCACAATACAATCGTATATCGATTTTAGTTGCAGATATATTTTTCGATATTTTCTTTTTGGTCACACTGAGTTCCCGTACCGGCTGCACTGTTTTTAGGGTTATACAACACTTTCGCTCACACGCCAGCGCGCCAAATTTAAACGTTGTTACTCTATCGATAGGCTTTCAGGGGCCCCATATATGTATGTATGTTTGTTATACAGTATATATTTGAAGTCTGCAACGCAGTGAAGAAAACATCTCCGACCCTATAAAGTATATATATTCTTGATCAGGATCACCTTCTGAGTGGATATGAGCATGTCCGTCTGTCCGTCTGTCTGTCCATCTGTCTGTCTGTCCGTTTCTACGCGAACTAGTCTCTCAGTTTTAAAGCTATCGTTTTAAAACTTTGAACACACCCTTTTTTCCTTTGCACGCAGTATATAAGTCGGAACGGCCGACTATATCCTATACCTGCCACATAACTGATTGATCGGAAATGGTATAACTTTGATGTTTTTAGAGTAAAAGAGTTTTTTACATGAATTTTACATGAGTGCTACTTTTGGCAAAATAATACGACATGTCAAATTTCATAAGGATCGGCCGACTATATCCTATAGCTGCCTTATAACTGAACGATCGAAAATGACCCAACTTTCGAGTTTTTGAAGATAGAATAGATACATATTCTATTTTTAGTCAGTTAATCCAACCTACCAAATTTCATTAGAATCGGCCGACTATATGCTATAGCTGCCATATAACTGAACGATCGGAAATGGTATTTGGTAGAAATATCAACATTCGTATTTTTGAAGTTAGGAGCTTGGGACTTTTTTTTTAGATTTTTTATTGTAATTTATTGGTTTTATTATGATGTAATTATAAGGATCGGATCCGATGTTTGCGATATATATCCGGTTTTAACTGCAAGGGTATATAAACTTAGGCACCGCCTGAAGTTAGCTTTCCTTTCTTGTTTCTAATGTGAAATCGAGCGTTGGTGCACCCTAATCGTGGAGGTACGTCCTTGGAACTGTATCGGAACTCGGGTTTTCTCCATGATAGGTTCGTCTCATTTTTTACCTTTACCGAATCAGCATGGAAACATTTTATTCCTTCTTTAAATTCCGATATTCCCTGCTTTATATCTCGGAATTTATGTCGACATTCGGCACCTAACAAGGAAGAGTGATTTTGTATCGAAGAGTCCGGGAATTCTCTTTACTTTCATCTCCGAAGAGTTTATCTCCTCGACGATGTTCTGGATCTCCTGTTCTGCCCCCCAGACATGCGTTTCGTCTCCTATGTGGACTGCCCTCCACAATGATACAATGGATATCGATGTTTTTTTGCCATTTGTTTAAAAGTCAATGTAAATATGTTAAAAAAATACACTCTTTAATAATTTAACTGTGGTATACAATAAATATCCGTATTTTTAGTTGCTATATATGTATAAAATCAACATGGGTACTCATCTCACGCTTGAGGTACTTGATTTTCGTAACAGATTTGGTAATTTACATGGTTATTTACAATAAAAAAATATATGTATAAATATTCGTAATAATTCTGTAGAAATATCATCACTAGGGTGCGTTGTTTACCATTGAACGGGGCGAAAATTAATTCAGTTTTCGGGGTTTATCACAAATTTAAAGGAATAGGAAATAATTTGGATTTTATAAATTCAGTTTTTCATTTTTTTTTTTTTCAAAATTATTGGTTATTTTAAAACCTTTACTGAGATTTATTTAAGAGGAGTACTCTTCGGATTTGTTTTATTTAATTTAATTTTTAAATTGGAAAACTACTTTATGGTCTGCCCTCGGCGATCAGTGATGAAAGTTGATCAGTTCCAGAGCCAGGTAACCCCTAATCCTTTCTATACACATGCAACAACATTTCAAAAACACTGAAATTACACGACAAAGTAAATCTCCTCTTAAAAAAAAAAAATAATTGTTTAAAATAAAACAAAGCTTGCTTAACAAGTCTATCATCTAAAATACTCATAGGATCAGTAAAAGCCACAGTGAATGGATCTTAAGTTGGCAACCCTTTTTTAAAATCAAGTTTTATAAAGAATGAAACTTGTTCAGATATTTAGTTTAAGATTTAATATTATGGCGTCTTATGGAAAATTAGTGGACTTTAACTTGAGTTAACTCCACTAACGTTCTATCGACGTATTATACATAATACTCCCTACAGATCCCTTGACTGATTACAGATGATAGCAACGAAAACTAAATATCACTTTGCTTTTCATTAAACTTTTTAAAAGGTAATGATGGGTTGCATGAGTCTTGGTGTGGTGATGTGTTATGCGTCTGTCTTTTGAATCGACTGGGGGACTCCTAGCCCTGGGACTGATAAACTCTCAAAACTGACCCGAAAACATGCCGTGCAGGTCCAAAGATTGTTTTTAATAAACTGGAAAGGGACAGATTTACGAAAAACCCATGCACATCTATTCGCCCCGCCAAACTCCCAACTGTCTTTTGAGTTTCCCATTTCCATAGAACTGAATTTTCTGCTAGAACTGCTAGCTGCAAGAACTGCTAGCTGGCCCGGTTCTGTAGACGGGCACACCTGGGGCATCCTTGTACACTCCGGATTCGAGTCCGGTACTTCCAACAGCCGTGATGAAAGCAGGATCCGCACCGATCGCAGCGTTGCACTTTCCTTTGCCAGGGATATATCAGATCCTCACTTTTGCATTCCTCACAGACGAAAGCACGACCCGAACAGAGCTGGGAATGGAACATGAATAAATACATTATTGCCTGACCCATATGTGGTAAATTATTATATTATTTTATTTCTTAAAGGGGGGCCTTTTTTATGTGCAACATCTTCCGAGTATTGTTACAAAATATTACATTTATTGAAGGAAAATTGACGCCGAGTTCTTACAATTAAAAAACTTTAAAGCGCTCTTTACTGTTGAAGGCCTACTGAACCACCAATCGTCTTGAAATTTGGACGCAGAACTTCTTCAACTAAGAACTTCAACTAGGTCCCCAGGTAGAGGCGTTGAATTTTAAGCAACAAATAACCCGTTTTTTAGGCAAAAAAAGGTATTTTATTTTGGGAAACGTCTGGAAAACTTGTTCTTAAGAAAATTCTTAATTTTAATTTTGTTCCTTCGGATGATTTTCCGGAGAGTTTTTCCGTAGCTTCCTATAACTCGCTCGCTGTATAATATTTTCGAATACAATTGCAGAATATTCTTCGAGTATTTTTTTATTAAATGGAAAGATAATATTAAGTTCGCCTATCAATCTTTACAGAAAATTCTTTAAAAGTGTTTACTTTATACCGAATTAACCTCACCATCCTAAAGATTGATTTCAAGTTTACAGATTAAGTTTGACTTGGTTGATAGTAAAAGTCACAGAATCGACAACTTGACTTGACATTATTCTTTAGATTTTGCATCTTTGAAAGATTTTGCATCTTTCGTATAAAGATAAAGGCAAATAATCGTTGTTTTATAGACAGAAGAATATATAATTAATTATATAAAATTTCATTAAACTAAATTAAGGACAACTTCTGAAGCATTAGTTAATAAACTTTTTCGAATAATCTAGCCTTATCTCTTTAAGTGCTCATCTCTAACACAATCTATAATTGTGTATTTTTGTCCAAGTGCTATTTTTAATCGATTCGGAGCTATGCTGCCGGCAAAGGCAGACCCGCGGAAACAACATAAATTTTCGTGAACCTGCTTTGAAAATAAATATTATTTTAAGTAGTCTTACCACACAACTTTGGACATGATGTTCGCTGAGGACGACCAGCTCCTTAATGGAACGACCCATGCTCTTGTTTTGCACGTCGACAAAATCACACATGGACCACATATCGGGATCCTGGGTTATGTGCTCTGGAATGGCATTGAAGAAGGCCTGCTCTCTGTGGAGGAAGACAAGTGAAGGCAGGTGAATATTTTGTATATGAGATGATGTGTATAAATATATCATATATTTCCTCGTTTAAATGGTACCCCTATAATGGTGTGATTTATGTTTTTTTTTTATGGACATCGAATTAAATTCTCTTTAAAATTTGTGTGACTTTTGTTATTGTGTTTAAAAAAAAAACTAGATCATAGATCATTTAGATCATTTATGGCTTTATGGAAAACATAGATCATTTATGACTTCTAAGAGGTTAATATACTTTAGACAGATAACGCTAGCTGATTAAGAGTATATGGGTTTGGACCGATAACGCTAGCTGATTAAGCGTATATGGCTTATATACAAATTCAGGAAACTTTTCTTCTCATTGTCTTATGCACAACTGGCCAAAATAATAAGTACACGCCCATAAGGTTTCTTGCACATCGCGTTGAATTATTTTTATAAACAGAACGAACCAATTCGAGTTTCTTTAATCTTTTTTTTCTTAAATCTCGTCCCAGCTTTTTTCTGCAGATCATTACAATTTTTCCGCATTTTAAAATGTATTCCATAGGCTTTCGATTTTGTTGGAAGTCTAGAAACTGACTTGGAAAGCTCTTACTGTCTACCTTATTCTGTAAATCTCTGTAGACCTTCCCCAGCTTTAAGGGGTGTTTTGAATTGTTTTCTTGATTTAAAACTCATCAAACAGACGTATGTTCCTTAGAATATGGTAGAAATAAGCAAAATATATATATATATACCCGTTTCGGGTTATATAATTTGTTATACTGTGAATAGGCCCGAATCAATGTCAAGGAAATCATCCCGAAACATAATGCTTCTATCTCAGTCTTTAATGGTCTTCTTACTGTACCGGGAGTGGAATTAATTTCCTTTGGGGCATGTCTAAATGTCTTCTGGAGTCTTTCCTTAATAGATTTGGATTTTTATCGTCGCTTCACAGGACTTTTAATTTTTTGGAACTCTCTGGCCCAGATCATGATACCATGATCATTGTTGGCTTTGCGTCCCCGAGGCCTGCTTATGTAAGCCTACGATGAACCGGTCTAGACAATATTATATTCTGAATATGAGCTCCAATGACCTTCATGATATAATATATTCTTCCTCGCAATACTACGAATGCGAATTTCCGTCGATAATATATTCTTCCTCGCAATACTACGAATGCGAATTTCCGTCGATTGAGATGATTTCTTCTTCCATCCTCAAGTTCCAACGCATTTTACGGCAACCGTACAAGGTTTCTCAAAGACATCTTCCTTCCTGAGGATACGAAACAATTTATCCTTCTGTATCAGTATAATGCTTTTTTGGTCAATCATAAAAATACTTTTTTTCAGGGATATTCTTCCTTAGGAAGTATAGTCCACTTTATGTCAGAAACCTTGAAGAAACTCGAATTGTATGTGATCAAAGTTAAACGAGAAACCTAATGGCATGTACTTACTATTTTGGCCAGCGGGGTACATACATCCTCTCAAATACATATCCTACTTCACAAGTACCGAGTAGTAAACCCTCTAAACTCCACCTCATGCGAGCAAGCTCACCTCACGGCAAATCGGCAATTCGATATGAATCCCTTGACGGCCTGAAGCTGGACTCTCCTCCTTCTGGCCTTGGCCAGCTCCTTCTGCTTATACAGCTGCTCGTTGAGGTCCGGGACATGGAAAAGCGGGAAGGCGTACATCTGCTCGATGAGTTTGTAGGCGAAGGAACAAACCGGATAGCAGCGGAAGTCCCAGGAGCGTAGAATCTTGGCAGGAATGGCCGATATTTGGTTCCGATGGCAGCCGGTGCAGAGATACTTCCCCAGATAGTTGCAGTACCGATAGTGCTGCTGGAGATGCTTGGCCACGCGCATGCCGCAGCCGGCGCAGCGCTGGTTCTGCTTCTGCAGCACCTTGGCGCGACTCTCCGCCGGGTGTTCCGTGAATATGATCTGCTGGCGCGGTGGGGCCCAGTTGGAGGTGCCCCGAGTCAGGCTGCCGGCGCCTGGGGGCTGGTCCCGATCCGGCTTTGGTAGCGTCGGCATGGGCAGCAGCTTCTGAGGTGCCTCCTGCTCGGACACCAGCCACTTTAAGTGGCTCAGCTTGGGCAGCTGCTGCTCGTTGAAGCGGGAAATCAGTTGGAGGCCCACAGCCTCGGCGCTGTGGTTCTCGACGTCCCCGGAAATGGGCTGGACGTAGGGCATTAGATTGGGCTCATGGCGATGCGGTTGGACGCTAGTCGGCTTGGCCGACAGTCTGCGGCTCCACTTCACGTGCTCGATGGCCGTGATGCAGGCCTCCGAGATCCGGAAGTGGGCGTTCTCCTTCTCCAACTGGGTGTTGTTGTGCGTTTGGCGGGACATCTGCAGGAAGGATGCCAGCGACTGCTGGTCCATTTTGTCGCTGCTCGGTGTGATGCTCACGGAACTGGAGGCTGTGGTGGAGCTGGTGGCAGTGGTGGTACTGCCCTCGGGCCTTTGTATGTCCCAGGGTGCTGTGGAGGCAGCAGAGGCGGCGGCGGCGCTGCAGGAGGAGTAGCAAGTGGCAGAGGTGGTGGCCTCGTCCAGCATGCTGACACCCTCGAAGAGGGTTTGGTGTTTTTTCAGTTTCCGGCCATTCACCGCCAAGAAGTTGTCCAAAATGCCGTCGCCGTCGCCTCCACTAGCGGTCAGGTCCTCGCCCAAGCCCCTTTGAAACCAGCTGGTGTAGACGGGCGGCGAGCCAAAGAAGCTACCTAGGAAACTGCCAAACGGAGATGAGGATCCGCGGGGCAGGTCCAGCGGCTTCTTCTCCTCCCTTTCCGGCGGAGACTCCGTCAGCGTTTGGTCCGTCCAGATCTTGATGTCATCACAGTTGATCAGCTGAATCCGCTTGGAGCTGCCGCCGGAGGAACAGGAGCTGGGCGACGGCACGTCCAAGAACTGGCTGCGCGGAGTGCTGAACGTCTGGCAGCGGCGCCGGCTGGAAATCTTCTCCAGCTCGGGGTCCCTGGCCTGCTCCTGGCTGAGATTCGGCAGGCTCTTCAGGCGCCTCAGGTAGTTCCGCTTTTGGGTTATCTCCTCCGGCACGGCTTGCAGCTTGGGCGATATGCTGAAGTTCGGCTGCGAGCAGGTGCGTCGGTGGCGCATCTGAGCCCTGACCTCCAGTTGGCCCAGCAATGCGCTCTGGTTCAGCTGAACCGCCGTGAGACACACAAACAGCGACGTCACCTCGCCGGAGTGGCGCAGGAACGCCTCCTCCGTGGGATAGTAGAAGTCCATCAGCTCCGGGTCGGACACTAGGGTTTGGAGGCACTGCGATAGGCAATAGCGGCGTAGGCTACACTCCGTCCACTCTAACAAGAAGGCCTCGACCGCATCAGCACTGGTGTTGAGGCTGGGAGCGGGACTCTGGACCCTGGACTCGCCTTGTGTTCCGCCAGCACTAGCCAGCAGGAATTCGAAGTCATCCGACAGACGCTGCAGCTCCACAGGCTCCAGCTGAAAATAAAAGGGAAGGCTATAGTTTTGCGGTTTATAACTTTTTATAGTTTGAAGTTTTTTTTTTTTAGCTCGTTGGTTAAAATTAGCTTCATGTACATACCATTGATTACTTTTTAGGGCTACATTGCCTTACATACATGGCTTATTCTTCATAAGATCTTGAAATATTTTTATTTCCTTATCTATATTTAAAAAAAAACTTAACGATTAATTGACAGAAATTAGGCGAATAATTTAATAAATAAATAATTATAAATAAATATTCCTAGCTATTAGGAATTAGTTATTGGTTTTATCGAACCAGAATGGTTCAGCCCTTGCACTGGTTCGACCCTTTTTTTGGTCAAAAATTAATAGCTTAAGAACGGGAAAATATATTTTAGTTCTGCTTCTTGTATTGTTTTCATAAAAGCAATTAAAAAACATGTTTTCTAAAAACAAGTATTTTATAAGCCTAAAAATGGTTTATTTAAGATATCAGTATTAGATATTCGCCAACAAAAAACGGCCTTGAAAATCGAAATTGCAATATGCAATAAAATGACTTAAAAGATGTATTTTGATGTGTTTAAAATATTTCCATCCACCTAGCCATCTAAATTTTCTTTATTACCCTAATAAGTGCCTTGTTCCCACTCCACGGAGTGGTAAAAAGTGACACTCTGACAACCACGAGTCAAAAAATTTGTATTTTTAAACTCAATGTAAGCTTTTAAAATTTCAAATATTGAAGAATGCGCGCAAAAGTGCCATTTTGGACTCGTTCTATATCTCTTCTAAAACATTAGAAACCGACACTAACTTAAACCTGATATTACACACAAATTGTAGGCATATCACATTCAATTAATAAGATATAAGGACACATAGTCCTTACACACATAGGACATAGGATATAACACATAGTTTATAACACTCTTTTTGGACTTCAATCCAAACAATTGTTATTTTGCACGGTAAAATGCGGCATTGAATAATATGTAAATGATTGGATTTGCTTTACAGTGTCTCAAAATTTTGTGTTTTACAGGGTAGTACAGTTTTCTGTTAAATAACCCTAATCTTAAAAGATTTCTTAACACATAGCCATTACATGTGCCATTAATTTATTTCAAATTTTCAAAGTTTAAAAAATACATTTTTGTCCTAAATAGTGCTCGTCTGAACCATAGTGCCTTGTTGTTTCTAGTGCCTAGGGTTCGAGATAGACTTCAATCTAATTTAAATCAAATATTTGAAACAAAATAAAACTAATTAAAAAAAACAAAAATATTTGGATTTGTTATAATTTTACCTTCTATTTGAACCATAAGCCGAAAGAAATTATGGCATTTAATTTAAATATTAATTAATTAAATAATAATTTAAAATAAATAAAATAATTGAAAAACATGTAGATTTAAATGGAAAAGAATTTAATCCTGAAGAGATAAAACCCAAAAATGAAAAGTGAAGAAAAAGCCATCTAAACTTTATAGTTTTCAAGCTTGCTTAATCGCTAAGAGTCGCTTACTAAGAATTTTCACAGCATCTTGTCCAGATGAACTATTTTTTAAGGAAAAAAATGTTTAAAAAATTTTTGATTTACGCGTATATATGCCCCCCATTAATCATAATTTCTGTCTGGGATTTGTTTTCTTTTTTAAGAATTTAAAGCAACAGATACACGAATAAAGCCACTTGTTTGTGTGGATATAATTATTATTAAAGACGATCCGGGTCGATATCAGTTATATGAAAAATTGTTACACAATTTTTTAATAAGAACTGTTGGATAAAGTGGCTCGATTCGGCTTAAAAATCTTTTAACCATTTAGGTTTCTGCTTACAATGCATTCTTTTTCAAAAGAATTGTTGTTTCCTTATCATTTCCATGAAAGCTTATTACTCTAGCTTATGGGATTCTAAAAATGTTGAACGATAATTCGCATTTGAGATCGTCATGAAAAGTTATAGCTCGATAAAAGTTTAGTTGAGAAAGCCCCCCCTGGAAGTAAAAATCAGTAGATTCTAGAAGAAAAATATCGATCCATATTTGTGTCTCATCTTTAAAGGCTCTATGATTTATGACAAACTAATTATTTCTTCGTGTGTAAAAACTAAATAAATTTATATAAAATCCATATATGTATGTATATCTAAGTCCTTCTCTGCTGAGATTACCGACACAATCGGTTCTTCGTTATCGGGTCATTCAGATATGATAAGCTGTTCTGTTCCCTTGATAAAGTAAGAGCTTATTTGACGTATCGATGTGTTCCATTACAATAAAGTCAAGATTTTTGACCCACAAGCGTCATTTGGACAAAGTTTAGATTGTATACCTCATAAGCAGTAAAAGATCGGGATGGAAACCCAGCACTGAAGGCGACTTTAAGTTCATCAGGATAGTAAGTTGTAAGTTGAAATTATTAATTTCAATTAATAATTAAGGATGGTTTAAATTGTTTTGGTTTTATTTTGAAAAATATAATTTGTGAAAAACCATTTTTCTTACAAAGTACATGCAACGTCTTTATAATTTATGAGCGAAAAATAATTTATTGCATTAGGCTTGATTTGACTAGAATAAAAATTAAGTACGTTAAGCTTGTTTAAAAAAAGATTGCTTGTGATTTATGTTTTCAAATTTAAACGTATTGTTTAAGTTACTTGGTTTTGGGGGTAATTCTAGAATAACAAAAAATAAGTAAGAAAAAATAAATCTGGAAGCATGGTAACAAGAGCTAAGGGGTGACGATTTTTAACTTTTTTCCTGATTTTTTGCACTTGTGGTTTCTATTAATATTTGGACAGATGGTTTTTTTTAATTTCTTCAAATTGGTTTTGTTTTCTGTGGCATCAGTTTTGAAGCCGTCTGACGCATAAAAAGTAAGTTTCTTCTTAAAAGTAAACAAGGAAGGAAAGTCTATAATACCGGATCAGATATATATTGCGAAAATCGGATAAAGTTGGCAGAAGGTGATTCTGATGAAAAATATTTATACTCTATAGATTCGGAGGTGTCTCCATCACTGCGTTGCACACTTTTGACTAAAATTATAGGGGTTCCCGGCAATAGTATTGAAAATACAATCCTCATGTTATCATTGATGGAATAGGTACTTTTTTGAAAATTTTGATCAAGTTTTTTTATGAACTTTGAATATTTTTAATATAATTTATAATCGTTTATAATAATCCTGTCCTTTCTTTAATTTATGTAGAATATTATTGTTATTCAGTGTTCAGTGATATATGGAACTAAAATATAATCCTAAAACCCGAAAGTTCCTTTAAAAATTAGAGCTATTCAAAAACTTTTTATATAACAGTTCAAATTTAGTTTTGGGTCTTATAGATTTTTTGATAAGTTTTACTTTGGAGGTCCTATACCTCCTATGCGTCCTATACCTCCTATATACAATCGTAAAATAATTTAAAAAAAAAAATTTTCAAAAATTTTTAGGTATTTTCAAGCAATTAATTTATAAATCTTAATTTTTTCTTTTAACAACCTTTATGAATCTGGTGTCTTCTAGGGTATCTTAGTTCCCACCACTCATAAATTACAAACATATTTTCTCATAATTGTTGTATAATTTTGTAGGATTTCATAACTGCCTCCCAATACTCCAAACAAACATATCGTCCCCAACAATTGCTGACTAAGGCTTCTAGGGTATTTTTCTGTTTATCAGTGCTGGGATCAGAGTCCCCCACTCCCTGTCTCGCTCTCACTTGCTCACCATGCCATGCCTGAGGATGCGGGTGCAGCTTTGGGTCAGCAGCTGTTGTCCGTCCGTCGATTTGGCCCGGAACCAGAAGTTGGTGGCCCTCCGCAGCTCCGCCAGCAGAGAGTTCCTGGCCAGCTGCTGTTGGTGCTTCTCCAGGCGGATATTCCGCAGTTGGGGCTCCGCTGCTGACGCCACCGCCTCCTCTGCTGCGACGAAGGGGAGCGCGGCCATTGCGTGTTGATGATCACAGTTGAGGGGGGCGTGGAGGCGTGGTAAGCATTTTTGCAACTGAAGCGACGATCCTGATAGGCGATGGTGCAAATTATGACTTCCTCAAATCATATTATCGTTCGCTGTTGTACTTTTCGTTTAATTTGTTGTGAGTGAGAGACTGAAGCTGGGTATGTCATTACCCTACGGTCCTACTTCCAAGTCAGCTGTTTATCAGTTTTGGATGGTCACTTTAACTTTACACGTAGTTATCGATTTTTTCTGTAAGATGTAAGGGCGCCAAGTTTGATGGTGTAGAATGGTGTATAACGGACTGTTTGAAATTTATTCACCGTTACATTTATTTGTTAATGTTAATGAAAAAGAAATAAAAAAAGTTAAATATTGAAACTTTAAAGCTTTAAAAACTTTTAAGATGTAATTCTTATTTTGAATACTTAAGTACATTTTAAAACATTTTTAAATTATAGTCAAACACATTTTAATATTATTTAAACAAAATATTTTTCTTATAATTTTTTTCAAACAAAATTTTTTAAACTTTTTCAGTAAAAAAAATTAATATATCGTTTTTTAATATTTTATAATAGTAAAAATTTAAATTATTTTGATACAGAATAAAGTTACAATTAAATATAGTATAAACATAAAGTTATTAGAAGTTTTTTTATAAATCTAAAAAATATAATTAAATAATTTAAGTTTGTATATATTTTTAAGAATGATTTTATAAAATTTCTTGGACGTCTTTTAATATCGACTTGTGAACATGAAACTGAAATTCAAACTTTATGGTTAATTTTAAACTCTGTGAAAAAAAAAATTCTTCATAGATAATTTAAAGGTAAATACACCCATTTCAATTTCTTGATATTGAGTATATTTTCTTGTAGTGCTAATTAGGTTCCCTTAGATGGCGGCACTAAACCGTTATTCGAATCGTATGCTTTCCGTTCCAACCGCCAGGTGTCGCTACACGCCACCTGCTGTTCCCACTATTTCCGTACTCTGTGTGGGCGTTGCCTTCCACAAGACAGCTTCCACGGCAGCTATTGGCTAACCTGCGGCGGCCTGCGCAGCTGCGTCTCCAAAATGTCAAATCAGGACACGCCCCCTGCTCCACAGTGTGCCGCTGGAAGATGTCCAATGTGCGTGCGCCGACTTTGGCTGCGCTGCCTGCGTTGCTGCTGCCTGTTGTGGCGCTGCGGCTGCTGTTCCCCATTTTGTGTTTGTGTGCGTGTATGCGTGACTGTGTGCGTGTGATTTTGTTTATTTGTGTGTTTGTTTGTTTGTTTGTGCTTCGTTTGTCGTATAAGTGATGAGTCAATTAACCCAACATTCCTGGAGGCCACATATTGCTTTAATTAAACAGACAAACAAAATTGCAACAACAGCAGCGGCAACAACAAATTGCACTACTTTTGCCACCATTGCTGCTACTTTGGTGTCTCTTCTTCTTGCTTAACCAATACTACAGCACAGACCCCGCCAATCCCCACCACCCAACAGGGTTCTGCATTTTGTGACTTTTCGGGGCCAGTTAAATGGCAAATAAATATTTGCATTTATTTTCAAACACACACACACATACAGCCAGTCACATGCACACGCATACCATAACAACCTTGAAACAATAGCAAGAAGAAGCATACACCCACACACCCATTCAGCTCTACTGGCTCTTAATTAAACTTTAATTACTTGTAATTAATAAAGTTGATTGATTTGACGTCCATAAAATAAACGCACTCTATTTTATTTTTCCATTTGCCAATGAGCTGTTGCCATGACGGCCATTTCTGTAAATAAGGCTCTTAACGGTAATATACTGACGGCATATTTTCGGCTAATATGTGAATGTTGGGTGAAACAAAGGGCGAAGGAAAGGGCTTAAGTGCTTTCATAAAAATTATCATAAAAAGCCAACAGGCTTTATATTTATTTCGATTTATTTAATTGTGTTGTTTAAATCGATATTGTTTTAAAAATGGTTAAAAATTTTGAGCTTTTCACTTAGTGTTAAACTCAGAATTAGTCATTAATAATTAAAACATTTACGATGAATACATTTTAACACATTATACATTTTGACATTGATTAACACTTACATTTTTAAGTAAAGGGATCACTATTAATGTTGCGATGAGATAATATAAAATTGAGATAAGAAATCCAAAAAAAATCAAACATTTATAAATGTACGAAAATTCTAAATTGATTATACAAAAAATACTAAAATGTTATAAATTAAAATTTCATTCATATTGAAAACACATTAAAAAAATATGTAGAAAAAACTGATGTAATGGAAAAACAAATCCGAAAACGAATAATTCTATTCAGAAATTAGATTAAAAAAGAAGTCCTAAATGTTTCACCTAATTTAATTATAAATGGTAACATTTATATTATAATTATAAATAGTTCCAGAAATCAATGTTTCAAAATGTAGGAAAGACTGTGATAAATTTTATATACATTGTATGTACATAAAGGACAACAATGAAAGTATGTATCTCATGATATACGTATAGTTATATTTGTATCCTTTTATATCGAAATATCCTGTTTTTTTATTGCCGTATTCATAGACTTTTATGATCTATCTATTTTTGGAAATTTTTCATTGAATTAATCCTCGGAATTGGCCTTCAAAACTTTGTTAAGCTAATGAGCGAAAACTGTGCTGCATACGTTTGGGGGCCCAGCTCCCAGCTTTTTGCTTTCGCAAATAATTAGAGAAAAGATGGTATGATTCCCTCTCAAAGGATTTTAATTGCTGAAAAGGAGGCTTATCTCGGAACGAGTTTGGACCAAATCCCATTGCCAGATTGTGAAAAGATGTCTAAGAGTCTAGACAATCGGGCCAAAAGGATTGTTGGTCATAACGAATCGGATGTTAACCTGGCTTAAAAGGCCCCAATTCACTTTTCCAATGTGCTGGTTTAGCTTTTTAAACTCTTGCTTTTATTTGAAAACATTTCATTTATGAGTATATTTAAAATTAAAATTTCTTTTATTTCAAAATGTTTTTTTTATGTTTAACCAATTAACTATTCTTTTTCAATCATTATGGTAAGTCTTACGATAATAGGGGTTTTAATGTATTTAATATAAAGATGTGAAAGCAATATTCTTAGAAGAAACTTAGAAATTGTTGTACATTGGCTTTTGCATATGGTTTTTCAAATTTTATTTATTTTAATGTATTACCAAAAAAATAAATATTAAAAGTAGAAAACAAAAACATTTTCAAGACTATCAATAAATAGAAAATTCAAAATTTAAAAGCACCAAGTACTGAGATTTTTTTGTCTTGGAATTTTGCTTTAATTTGTGATTTTATATCAAAAATGACTTCAATATATATTTATAGATTTATCTATGATACATACATTTTTACATAGAGCTGTAAATTTATTGTAAGATCATTTTCATTAAATAACGAAAATGAAGTCAGAAAATGAGTAGTAATTTTGATATTATTTAAAAAAAAGTATTCTTTCTTTAGTAAAGTATAAGATTTAAAATATATAAATAGTAAATGAACTATGATCTGAGCACTAGTATCTAGTATTTTATGTCTAATAATTTTATTTTATGTATTTTATCAAATAATTTTATGGGCTTTAGTATTGTATAAAATCTTCAAGAAAGTCTTCAATAATTTGTCCACAATTAGTCAAAATATTGATAACCAAAGGTGATAAGTGGCAGACAAATTGCCGCCTTGAGGAGGACTCATTACCAACTCGGTGGGGAAAACATTTTCCATTTCTATTTATTATTTTTCATTTCCCGGCTACAATTGGCCGACGACGGGAGGGACAATGGCCAAAATGGGAACCGCAACATATGCAGACAGGACACAAAGGATCGGACAGTGGGGATTACTCGCATATATAGAAGATATAGATTCCTGAACAGGAATCTATGGGTAGTGCGGGAGGGGGCGGGGGGCATGCAAATTGTTGCGGCAAAAAGCAATTGAAAGGAACGAGGACGAAACAAAAGGCGGAGAACACAACCAGAAATAGAAATTGAACCAGGATATGGGTGATTCGACGTCCTCTCTCGTTCCACACGAGAGCATGCCATCTCTCTCTCTCAGTATTTTCAACACAAAAACTGACAATGGGCAACACGGAACAATGGACAGAAACTGAAAACAAATTTTGCATGCTAAATGCAACAAACAAAATAGTATCTCGAATACGAATATTGCATTCAATAAAGGATTTCCACTTCAATTTTTCCAGGCATCAGGCACCCGGGCATCCTGGCATCGAGGCACCCAGGCATCCTGGCACAGGACAATGCCGAAATGCCAAAAATGCTAAAATGGGTAAATAACCAAACAAGAAAACACAAAGTGCAAAACAAATGCCAATGAAATGTATCTGAATGCGAATTTCTGCTTCTACATATGGGTATCTCCTAAAAACTTCAAACAAAAAATATTTTTAAAATGAGTCCTTGGAAAAAAAGTAAGCTTTAAAAAGCATAAAAACATAGAAAGATTGATTTTTTAGGCATTTGACCAGGAAGAATTTTAATAATACTATATATTTTGAATTTTTTCCAAATTCTTAACTCTGCTCTGAGCTTATTCTTTTATATAAAAACTTACAGATTGTATTGAAATATTACGAACAATTTATTATATTCTATTGACAACATTGATAGGGTTAAAAATAAAAGGTCGTCATTTTATAAACGCATAAAATATATAGCACTTAAAAATTTGTTGAATGAAAATAGAAAGAAATGCTAACTTTGGTTAATTGTTGATATACCCTTGTATTGCCTTTTCAAATATAATCATCTTATTTTTGTAAAAATCTATTACCCACAAATTTTGTGGAAAGTACCTAGTTTCTACCTTCAAAAATATCTAATTTATGGCATTTCCGATGCATCAGTTATATGGGATATCGATCTAATATTGATCAAGAATATACATATGTATGTATATACTTTATAGGGTCAGAGATGTCCCCTTAACTGCATTCCAAACTTTGACCAAAATTATAATACCATCTACAAGGATATAAGATTGTTTTCATACCCATGGAGATGGTAAAAATACATATTTTTTTATAACTTCAATAAACAAATAAATATTAAAAGAAAATATCTAGTAAAAATATTGTAAGAATTATTTATATAGAATAACTATGTGAAATTTA